ACACAACCTAAAACAGGAACCATCGTTTTAAAGGTATTTTCGGTATTAGTAGAGCAAACGTCACACGAAGGTTTTCCAACCAAGGAGAGGCGCTATGCCTGGCCCTGGAGGTACTTCTTTCTAACAAAACCTAAACAAACCTAAACCTAACTTAACAAGATGCTCAATTATATTGAACCTAGCATCAGCATCTTGATCTAAAGGTCCAAAATCTGAACGCCTATTGCAATAGACTTTAGGCTAGCTAGAAGATTAGCTATGTATTGCCTATTGCCTTCTTTGCAGCTTTGAATCAACGCTAGACCTTTGAATTAATTTTTCAACAATACAAGCAGCCTTCTCACCTACCTGTCAATATAAAATTTAAACAAAATGGGCGAGAAAACGCGACCACAATTGTCACAAACTCATTTGCGTATTTTCCTCATTCTCTTCTCAAGGTCACATCGCGTATATTCGGATGCAGTATGAGTAGAGCATGGGTCCCGAAAAATTCTTCAGAAACTAGAGAAATTCTCGCGGCCACCGGCATTTAGGCGATCTGCTCGTGCTTTTGTCACTGGAGCGCTTCTTTCACGGAGATTGCGCCGGCCGCCTGCAACGGACGAAAAAATACTCGGCTTTGCAATCCGGCTGATCGTGGGAAAATACGGCCGGAGGTCTCGGCTCTATGCAGGTATACCACCGGGAGAGATGTATTTATTGTATAGTATATACCACTGGCTCGATGTATAGCCTGCAAGTTGGCTTTGGTGCAAACATGTCAAACAGGGTATAGGGCGGATCGATGTAAGCAAATCAGTCAGACGTTCAATTGACAATTTCCGATTCTTATTCGATAATTACGAGTCTACGACCAATTATATTTTATTTTGGGAAGTGTTATTGGGACCGGAGCAATAAAATCTCATTTTCCCCTGTCTCCTTACCTATCTCCCAAACCCCTTGCTCACGATCATCTTTCCTCTCTTTAGGTATCAGTCTCCTTCCCGTCCTCCCCGAGTCTCTTACAAGTAATATCCATATCTCTAAGTCTTTTCCTTCATCGGATCCTCCTTTCTCTCACCACCCTTCTCTCTCTCTCTCTCTCTCTCTCTCTCTCTCTCTCTCTCTCTCTCTCTCTCTCTCTCTCTCTCTCTCTCTCTCTCTCTCTCTCTCTCTCTCTCTCTCCTCTCTCTCTCTCTCTCTCTCTCTCTCTCTCTCTCTCTCTCTCTCTCTCTCTCTCTCTCTCTCTCTCACCACCCTTCTCTCTCTTTCTTTCTCTCTCTCTCTCTCTCTCTCTCTCTCTCTCTCTCTCTCTCTCTCTCTCTCTCTCTCTCTCTCTCTCGTCCGTCTCTCCGTCCGTTCGCCCGCCCTTCCGTCTCTCAGTCCGTCCGTCCGTCCGTCCGCCCTTCCGTCTCTCAGTCCGTCCATCCGTCCGTCCGTTTCTCCATCCGTCCGTCCATCAGTCACTCTCCGTCCGTCCGTCATCAGTCTCTTCGTCCGTCCATCCGTCTCTCCGTCCGTCCGTCCGTCTCTCCGGAGGTGCAACTTTTCCCAAATAGTTCTTGGAACGTCACACAGTATATCGATTTCGAACCCACATATTACATAGAGGTGCAACTTTTTCAGGTCCCAATGTTCACCACGTCCAACGTTCTAACAGGTCCCAATTTTCCTGCCTTTTGGGTCATTGACCTGACCTGGAAGGTCAACCGATGACCTATGACCTTAAAATTGGGTATCATCGGCTTCCTCTCGTCACGGGCAACACGCTGGTTTTTTTCCGCGAAGCTCTAGCTTGATCAGGAGCGAAACGGCAAGGGGTTATACCTTATACGTTCGCGGCTGGAAAAAAACACCTATACGGGCGAGTGTCAAGTTGAAAGTATTAATTTGGTTCAAAACGATGATGTAGATAAGTTAGTTATTTAAATCTAAATATCCTATGACGAGAGCGATGGACATTTTTGGTATGCAGTGTTATCCATTGAAAACAGGTCAAAGCTATTGAGTTTTTAATTTAGTGGTCGCCGCTTACTAATCATGCGGCATACACGCCGCACATAACCGCCAATGCCGCAACGCAGCTTAAATTTCGAAGTAAGCATTTAGTCTCACCCGCATTCATATGGTACCCGTCGTGTGTGTCCGAGAATTTCTCTAGTTTCTGAGGAATTTTTCGGGACCCATGCTCTGCTCATACTGCATCCGAATATACGCGGTCACATCGGCGCTTACACAGGCTCGTCAAAATGGACACATATTCATTGGAGGACAATCATTTGAGAGGACACAATCATTGGAGGACAATACAATTATAATGCTTGACATATTCATTTATCATTGTACGAATGGAAAACACTTGAGATATTGGTAATGGTAATATTTATTGTGTTGGATTTTGTGGTCCATTACATATTTCGAGTATACCTATCTTTTACCTATGGAGACATACCTACAATATTTTTGCTTCTCGAATAGCGATTTAGGTATTATCACCATTGCGATTTCATTCTAAAAACGAAAACGAATCATTTCTTCAAGCTGCAAATCGTTTCGTTTTAGGTTTACTGGGGTCTGGGCCTGCATTTTCTCCGAGTTTTAGTCCTCGTATTTTAGAGGGATCGAACGAACCCCTTCAGTTGCCTGTAGGCCTGACAGCTCTTCTCGCGAAGGTCTTTTTTTCGGTCGAAAATGGCAGAACATGACGTCATTCTGACGTCGTTTATGGCCAACCTATCATAGCCTCTGGATTTTTTTTGTCACGATGTGTAAAATTGATGCCCTGAGGGGTCCTGAAAGTTTAATGGCGATATCTCCAGCCGTTTAGGAGATATCAACGGAAAAGGACAGGGGGGCCGTTTCGCCCCCCCCCTCCTACGGGGCGCGGGTTGAGCGGTAGGCTCGTATGATTGACAACTTGTAACAGTCCGTCTTGACCACTTACCAGAGTGGTCCGCCTTCGACCAGTTACCGTCACGTGGATGAGTTATGACCAGAACTAAAGCCAGAGTGAGCACCTGGTGCCGTATCGGTATGAAGGGCGCACCACCCTTTTCTGTACTTGCGGAACGTCATTGGCACGGCATCCTCCACGGCGTTACCCGAGGCTCCTGAGGTCACCGCTGGCACCCGGGTCACTGCTGGCACCGGGGTGCAATGATCGCCAGCCGGTAGCCAGCTCCCAGATCCAGCAGCGGCGCTAAGCCTATGATAATCTGTGGGAGTGCCTGTGACCTCCTTTGTCGCGTTGGAATCTAATTTTGTTGGCCGTCATCACCAGCATGAACCATTTGTCACCCAGGGCAATCAGAGCTCTTACCAGCCTGTAAACGATTATAGAATGAAGTACGAGTCACTGCCTCTGCAAGTCAGTTTTTTAGGACAGACGATGAAAGGGCACTTTGGTAGGTATTTGCAAGTGTGTAGGTACTGACGTGACTGCGGCTAACGATCGTAAGTGCCGGCGGGGTACTGCATGTAGATATACTGTGTAATGTTTATCTGCATACATAGGTATGTGAAGTCCGTGAAGAGCACATTGGCGCAAGCAAACGTGATAGGGATCCTGGGAAAACGATTTTTTTTTTGCATAATCACTCTATCGTCCGGTCCTGGGTCACGCGCCTCGTCTGACAGTGACCACATGGCCATGTTTCACGATACGCTGCTACCCGACGCTACCAGGCACTGGCGCTCCGTTTTCCAAGGAAACGTTAGCCAAACTGCCTCCAGTTTACTTACATTTCCATGAAAACCGAAGTGCAATATCTGTTAGGCACCTTGTAGCTCCGGGTAGCGACGTATACAGTGAGGCATGGCCCAGGTCAGCCATGTTGAACTCGCCACCATCCTGCCGGTCTCGAGAGTCCAGCAGCCAAACTCCGGCCAGCATGGCCCAGGTCAGCCATCCTCAACTCTGCCAATGCATCCTGCCGGTCTCGAGAGTCCAGCAGCCAAACTCCGGCCAGCAGCCGCTAGCTGCGGCGCCAACGAACCGCACCTGCATATCGGCCCACAGCTGGACTGGAGTGGCCGACATGGAGTGGCGGTCTTTGTGCTGCGCGTGCTTATAGTGACGACGACCGGTTGTGTCACGGCCACGTCCTCCCGATAGTGCCGCTCAGGAGGTCTTTCAACTCGTGACTGCAAGCGGTCCGTACTGGTAATGATCGGTTCGGGACCTCTTGAGGGCCTTTCGAGTCACGAGTGACAGCTTTGGAACGCTGAGTGGGTCACGATCAAGATTGAATGGCGTCAACCTTGCACTGCCACGATCCCTCTTTCTCTGGCCAGTGACGGCAGTGATCACTCGTCGAGGCGTGGATATGCCAGTGACGACAGTGATCACTCGTCAAGGCGTGGATATTGTGATCGTGATACTGATAGAAAAAAAAAACTGAAAGCTGAGCGATCGGTCGAAGGAATCCTGTCAAAAGTTCTTACACGAGTGACCTACGGACTACAGAGCATGAGAATGAAAAGTGTTTCGTCAACCGTCACAATTGTTACTTCTATTATGCGTTTTACCTATGGTGCTTTGTTTATGTTTCGTTTACATTATCCTCAATTTTAGAGTGGGGTCTTCAGGTAAATTGCAGCGCTAGCAGAGCTGGAACAGACAAACCGATAGAGATCTGAGCCGATGCCCATCGCGACGCCGCTTCTCCCGTCCCGCAAAAATATCAGGTTTCGGGGATAAGGCGTTATGCGTATGCATAGAAGAGAACGTGAACAGCGTCTTTCCCCCTGTCCCTTAGCCAATGACTTTCGGCTGAGTAATGATTCAATAACAGCAGGCGTAGGTGGACAGAATATGTCTTGATCATTCTTTGTAAAGCGGTCCATCACTGTTAGCTCCGCAGACAGCGAAGAAAGGACCCAAACACACAAGCATCACTGTATTATTACCAAGGATCTCACCAAACGCCTTTTACCTATGCATAACTATGAAAGGTTACAACATAGTGAGATCACCCTGTAGTCGTCTGTCATGTCACGATACATCATCAAACAGGTTACTTGATGCAGGCCACCTGTCATATACACCTCACTAGAGGGTCAGCATTCATAGTCATCAGTCATCGCAATTACATATACCCTTCATCAGCAGTAAATAAAGCACCATATGCCACGAAAGCAGGTCCGCACACCAGCTCATATCCATTATATCAGCTGTGCAGCATACACCATCACGAGGGCAGTTGCTGCCAACCCCGCTGTCTAGCTGCCGAGGACCCTTTAAGCCTGTCCTTTTCAACATCATCATTGAATGCTTAGGTGCAGCATTGTTCGCATACAATTGTGCATTAGCGCGAAATAAAATAACCAATTTGTATGGGCCACTTCGAACTTCAGGGAAGTATCAGTCAAAATACTTTCTGTTCAAACATAACGCTTAACGAAACTGGAGCCCGGATGACCGCAGTCTCCGGGTGACGCATGGGCTCAGGCAACTTCCTCCCAACACGCGAATTTCATGCGCATTGCGTATTTAGTATTGCGAGCCAGCATTATGTAAGGGCCAATGATATTTGTGTGGGATGGCGAAAATAGGGCATCAAACATCAACATCAATAAGTCATCAAACGGCTACCGCCCATGCAGTAAATACTTCTAAGAACATTAATAAGCAAAACTAACAAAATAACCCCCGTAACATCCAGCATCACTCAAAGTTTCTTTTTAGCTCCCTTTGCACTGCAATTTAGCTCCTCACAAGCTATTTGTTATCTCCTTTTGTTGCCACCGTTACCATTGTTCCCATTGTTTCCGTTGTTTCCATTGTTTCCGTTGTTACCATTGTTTCCGTTGTTACCATTACCGTTGTTACCATTGTTGCCATTGTTCCCGTTATTCCCGTTGTTGCCGTTGTTCCGTTATTCCCGTTGTTGCCATTGTTCCCGTTGTTGCCATTGTTGCCATTGTTCCCGTTGTTGCCATTGTTCCCGTTGTTGCCATTGTTCCCGTTATTACCATTGTTTCCGTTGTTGCCGTTATTTCCGTTGTTACCATTGTTTCCGTTTCCGTTGTTAGTGTTTGTATTCGTGTTTGTGTTATCACCACCCGTGTTGGTGTTCATGGAGTTGTCGGTTATGGTGGTGGTGACTGTATTCATGCTGGTCTGTGTGGCTGTGTTGGTGTTTGTCGGCGAGTTGGTAAGGGTGATGGTGACTGCGTTGGACAGGTTGTCGTCGTCGTTGTTGGTAAGCGAGGTCGTGCCTCCGGCGTTGACCGTGACCGCTCCGGAGCTTCCGGTACTGGTGGTGGTGGTGGTAGTGGATCTGAAACAAAGAAAACAGGATACAGTTAGAGCAGAACGAGGTAGCTCGAGCTGAGTTACCAAACACTTGTAGCATGTAGCTCTCACCAACCAAGTGGTTGTCAGTTATCTGATGGTCGTGCGAGTGGCCCTGCCTCGAGAACATAATTGAATAATTTACTGAATGATTACATAGATGTATGATTGAAGGGTGCCCGTGGCTATGACCATTGCCCTGATCTGTGAATGATTTCATAGGCGTTATAGGCCCACAACCTAAGTCCTAAACAGGCATGACAAGTCCAACGTATTCAAGTAACCTAGCGAGTCTCGTTCGCTGTATTCCGACACTTCTAGTTAACAGCTCACAACACAAAATTTGTCGTTTAGGGAAGACATTCCTATCGCCACCGTCTAAAACGGCTCTGCAGCTGCGTGCGTCACACTATCAAAAGTTTTCCCTATAAAACAATCTTACCTGGAAAGACCGAGCAGGTAGACAAGTCCCAGCGCTGGTATCCAGAAGCTGGTGCTGAGGAACTTTCCCAGTGCGCTGCCATGGAGGAGGCCGGTCTTGTACCCATTTTTCGGTCTCACGTGACACTTGCAGACCTTGGTATTGACAGCGGCAGGAGCGTAGCCAGAAGATACTCGTCGCTGCTGCCGATGCTCCTTCTGGTAGTAGTTCTGATATTGTCTCTGCAGCTGATCGTTTCGCTGAGTTCGTGGCGTGTCTGACCGATCCTGAGCACCAGCCGATCGGCGAGCCGCCATCCATCGGCGCAGGCCGTGGAGCCTCCTGGACATCATCCTGGGGAGCCCAGACCGCACTCTTCACCCTCGACCACAGCCGCCCGGCTCGGGAGCTCGGGCGGTTATGGGGACGAACGGGGCCCACTCGGTTTGAATGACAGGATTAGCCGTATCAAAACCATTCGAGTCATCACGGATACTTTGTCGCGAGCCCCCAGATTCATCGGTGTAGTCTACGTAAACTGAAGGTGAGTTGTTCTCCACACCAACACTATAGAATGACGCCGGTGCTACTGGATTTCTGAACCATTCATCGCCATGACTACGCCGGACAGTCTGTGTCTGCTGGGTCATCCGCTGCAGGTCCGTGAGGTAGGCCAGTGTCACAGGACGAGTCCTCGACTGGTCGTCGTCGGTCGTTGATGGCACCGACCTCCGGACCCTGCCTGGAGAGGTCCACCATCCCTCAGGGATGTCGTGGGAATCGAATGATGCCTCGCTATCGCCACTGACGTCCCTGATCGCGGCAGTTTGAGACTGTTCGCGATTTGCGTCGGCTGTTCTCCGGTTTGCGCCGGCTGCTCTCCCGTTTGATGCCACCCGGATGAGAGGCCAAACACGTTGTTCATTGGTATAAAGATGTTTGATTCGGTTTTGGAAGCAGCAGCCAGGTCAATGAAGTCGGCAAGCACGTCTGAAATGAGCGACATCATGTCACAAAGTGAATGACATCGTTATGGGTTATCGTGCGCACAAATGTCTAGATTAAAATAAGAACATTATCGTCGTCGAGGTCGTTATACTATGTAAATACAGTGTCTCTTTTCGAAGCGCTATAAACGCTACTTATAGTTATCAAACGCTACTTGTTCTCACTCAGCAATCCATTATTTTGCCCTAAAGTTTGCTTGACTGGCTATTTTATATGCTGCCGCCTCCGGCCTGAGTCTGATTTTCACAAAAGACGTTAGCTCACGGCTGGTGGCAGCTCACCTGGGTCGAGCTGTTTGATGACATTCTCCAACTGAAGACACGTCTCAGGGCTGATGACCTCGGTTAGTGTATCGCAGACAGAGCTGGGACCAGCTGCTAAGTTTCTGCCTCCAACGGCGGCAGGCCCCATCCAGGCAACGCTGGCCGCTAAGACGGCCCAGAGGATAGTGGCGGTCGCCTGAGGCAGACAGTTGATATCTTAGTCACGATAGAGCAGGTGAACAAGTAAATAGCTGTATGGAATACAGCATGCCCATGACGTTGGCACCTAAAAGCAGCACCGTGTCCATGATCCATGGTCTACGATTTCCTGGTATACCTCCAGAGCTCTAGGACTTATCACACCTGTGATTAAGTGAACCTATTCCAAACGTTCGGGAAATTTGCATCAGATTATTCATCCAACCACAACGTTCAAACTAATTCAGTTCATGGCCATTCAGCAGCAAAGAACACAACTGTTTTTTTTCTTCACAACATGGGCGTGCTTCTGTGCCTATTGTGACTCGACCTCCATACATGATCCTAATGACAGTCAGCCTTTGACAGACATGGACTGACCTTCAGACCTCCGCTGGCTGCTCCTGGCTCTTCAGATCCCAGGTCATCTGACCTGGCACAAGCTCGGTAACACTGGTCGTTACGTTCCAAGTCAGAATCTTCATTGTTGAATGGAACTAAGCCCCTAAAACAGCAGCAACAACAACGCTAGAGTGAAGGACATGCACCAATGCAAGATCAACTTCTCAGTTGTGGCATGGTGATTGCCGATTGGCATACATGAATATGAAATACGAAGAAGCCACATTTGCTCTATCAAACCCAAACGGTGCTACTTAGCCCTCGCCCTTCTAGGACCCGGGCTAAGTATGTAGAATCGTTTTGAAAGAAAAGCATCAATTGATTTTGAATCGCCGACATAATGCTTAACAGCTTTGTTTTTACTGTTGCAGAAGGTAAAACAACTGTTTTGACCTGACGTGTGAACTCATCGGTAGCACTTTACATGTCAACGAAACAAGATCACCAGTCAGATCATTTACGGAGTATTTAATGATTTTTTTCTTTTAAATGATTGCTCGATACGGATAATCAGCTTAGAGGTTGCCGAGGCAGCAGAGGGACCGAAACGTCCCCCTTCCTCCTTCGGCAGGTGGGGTCCGGCACAAGCCCTAAGGAACACTGATGACAATGCCTCGCTCGGTTGTAGGTAATGTAATATTCAGCTAGTAGAGGTGAATATTACACTGATTTTTAACCTTTGACGGCGAATTGGGTTGTTCGCAAATTGGCAGATCACTTGCACTTACCTTATAAGGTGGTACTGAGTTAGAGCCTTTATGACATCACTCAGATCCTGTTGAACTTGTTCGGTCACGTCGCTGGAAGGGTTGTCTGCATTCGTCTGAAGACGCGGTTCAATAGCTTTCGCGGACTGCGATGCATCCTGTGGGTTCCAGTGGCGAAGACTCGAACGCACCATTGCAAGACTATCAGAATTTTTATCAGTTATGTCTTGAATATAGTAGTTGATTCCTGAGCTAAGATTATGACGGAGTTGTGTAAGCCAGGAGCTCGTCTGAAAGCCCGGCTCTGATCTATGAGCTGGTTCCAGTCCTGAACTATGATGCGCGCTGGCTCTTGGAGCATCAAATGGCGAGTTGAACGTTGCGCTGCTGCTGTACGACCTCTGCTGTGGACCTGTGTGCCGGCCGGCGCGTTCTGCCGAATCACGCTGGTTGACCGTCGCGGACGCCGCCCGCGGAGAGGATTGTGTGAATGCGCGCTGATCCTCGATGGATTCGCCCGACTCACGCGACCAAACTGCTTGGCTCGTGACACTGTTCCTCTGGGATTTGTTGTTCCCAGCTGTAACTGGTTCTGCCTGGTCGCTCCTGCGCTGAAACTCGCGGGCTTTGCTGTTATGCACCGCATAATACCTTTGGTTGTTTCTTGGTGCAGTCGTCCGCCATGCTGCCTTTCGCACTTCTTTTCGAGGCTCCCACGAATTTAGGCTCGGATGAATCCCATTTCTGTTTGAGATGTGAGCTACGTTCCTGCTATTTCGCGTTTCATGACGATCTTCTCTATATCTCGAGGTAGGATGCGGTAGCGTAGTTTCTCGTTGGGAAGCTTTCCATGTGGCATTGAGCTGCGTTGTGTTTTCCTGGAACTGAAGTGTATGGAAAACACTGTTGTTTGTCCGTCCATCTGACATCGCGATGCTCCTTCCAAGCTGTTGAGCCTCAACAGAGGATACATATGATGAAGGTGACCCTCGACCATCATCCGTTCTCCCTCCGGGCGCCGTCCGCCATGTGGCAAGCGACGTCCTCTGACCTGTGGCATTCACAGGAACAGAGGCCGCCGGTGCCGGCAGCAGGAGCGGCGAAATCAAGACACAAATGACAGGAGAGTCGGCAGAAGTCGCAGCAGAGGACGACCTCTAGGTGGCCGCCGTAATCTCGCTGCTGAATGAGCCTCGGCCATCTCCTAAAGGGCTGGGTCTTCTCCGGTAATCACTCAATTTCACTCTTTGTTGGTGACAGCCGCCCCACTTTGGCGACCTCCGCAGCAGATGTGAACCGACTTTACAGCGACGTCCCTGCAGAAAGAGAAGATTGAAATGTTAATATCACGCAACGGATGGCAACTCTACCATTATATAACGGCAGTCATGTATCATAATTACTGAGAAAATAAACGAGTCTTGGATTTTGGGATGACGATGCATAAGTTTGCAAACTCTGACGCATACCGACGTTTTCACAGCCGCTAACGCATAAAAGGGCCGATGCCTCCTCCCCCTGATGATTACTGATCTGATCGATTAGTAGATAGATTAGTAGATTGATTAGTAGATAGATTACTAGATATATGCTCGATTACTGATCGAGGTAGAGCTTCACTAAAAAGCGAGCGCGTGGCTCGCAACTCACGAGACAAAGTCGATGGTGCAAGATTTTAACGCCTTTGGTCATTGGTTTATGGCTGACCTTCCAGGTCAGGCCAATGACCCATATGTCGGGAAAAGCGGGGTCTGCAAGAACTTGATAAAGAGAGGTTACTAGAGGGTATTTTTGGATGTTTCTTTTGAATCTGGCAATCGTTTTGCTAAACAACGATGTACCTATTTGTGCGTTTGAGTAGGTCAGGTCAGGTCAGGTCAACCACGAGGGGTTCCACTGGGTATTCATTACGGAGCGAGCGAAGCGAGCGGAGTCTTTCCTTTGATTAACGGAAATTTCTGAGTATGAGCGGCCGGCCGGCCGGCCGGCCGTGCGGACGCTTTTGCGAGGCTTATATCTTAGCAACCACTTGACCGATTTATATGCGGTAAATTTTGTAGGGTAGCTTCATTCCTTCTACCAAGTATTGGACTATTCCCGATGCATGTGGGTGACCCCTTATGCACGTGCCACGTGCAAAACGAAGAGGTGTCAGTTTTGTAATTGTTGCAATATCTCGGTAACTACTTGGCCGATTGCGCTGAAAGTTGGCATGTAGGTAGGCACCCACTAGGCACTGCATATCCATGTGCCAGAGTTCGGGTGCTGCTGCACGTGCGCACGTGCAGGGGTCGTTTCCAGATCTCGAGAACGGCTCGACCGATTGCGCTCAAATTTGGTACACGGTTAGGGACCGGTTAGTAGGGTGCCGTGCAAAAGTCAGTCGGGACCGAGTTTGCACGTGCGCACGTGCAGGGTGCCGCTTCCAGATCTCGAGAACGGCTGGGCCGATTGTGCTCAAATTTGGCACATTGCTAGAGACCGGTTAGTAGGGTGCCGTGCACAAGTCAGTTGGAGGTACCCCTCGCAAGTTCGCACGTGCAAGGCCACCCTCTCGCTCGCTCCGTTAGTCGCCCCAAAAGGCGTTATACTGGTAGAAGATGCTTACCATGATCGACAGCTTTGCAATGCTGTGCATGGTCATCGAGACGCTCTCTCGCATGCCCAAATCGGAGCTAAATCCAAAAACAGCTTCCGAAACCACCCTAAATGCTGTTAACCCGCGCCCCGTTGGGCTCTGCCGAGCAACGCGCCCCGTTGGGGGGGGGGCATTTTGGCCCCCTAAGATCTCGAGAACCACGCAACCTAGCGACAAGCGGCAAACGGTGTTGGATAGCCCTATCAGGGAACTACCTTGTGACCCAATCTTATTGACCTAGGTCAAACCGATGACGTCACAGGTCAGGTCAAAGGTCGAATTTTCACCGTTTACAGGCATTTCAAGAAATGCGTTGTAATATCGAGTCAAATGCATTTCATTGAAAATCATCGATGGGGAAATGTTCTTCAAACACATATTTTGCTATTTGAGGTCACTGATACCAGGTCAGGTCACAGAGGTCAGGTCACTGGGGGGTCACAATATGAAAGTGTCGTGTGATACATGTTTTATGGTCCATTTTACATGACAAATGCGATTATGTGGGTCAGGCAGCCTTTGGGGCCAGCTTAGGTCACGTTTTGGTCAAGGTCAGGTCAAGGTCAAGTCAAATTAGGTCAAATTTCAAAGTTGATATTTTTGCATAAAATGGGTATCGAATCGATGCAGATCGTCACGGGGAGTTCAATGGTGGTCTTTGTTTTGCCGTACGTGGTCTAGAATCGCTAAAAATTGAGTTAAGAAATTTGACGTCATCATTTTTTAACAGTTTTTTTTTCGCTATAACTTGGCCAAAAACGAGATATCGATCTGAAATTTGGTATGTATATAGAAGAGCGCAGGGACTATCACATATTTTCCGTTTTTTTTCGAAATTCGGAAAAATTTTGTTTTTTTTTGTGTTTCTAAAAAATCAGTTTTTTGAATTTTTGGGGGTCAAAACCCCAAAATTTTGAAAATCCGAGACAGCAGTTTTGTAACGCCGCTCTTTGTCTACTAGACCATATAAAGAACTTTGAAATTTCTTGATAACTGTAGATTTGGTGAGCGTTTCAAGATTGCATGTTTTTTGCTCATTTTTGCTCGAACATGACCTCAGTTTGACCTCAATAACTCCTGGCCTAAGGTGACCTAAGACTTGAAATTTGGTGTGAAGGTGTCAAATTGATGCCCGGGAAGGTACACTGAAAATTTGGCGGCGCTGCGCGCCGCCGTTTTCTTGCTATTCAGGAAAAACCACAGGGGGGGGGGGGCAAAATGCCCCCCCC